CTGCTGAATCTGCTTGGCCTCACTGCGGGCGCGAGCGCTGGCGAACATTAACGGCATCGGTAATCTCTTCAGGTTCTCTCCCGTCCGTGGCAGAATATCCTTGGTTACGCGACTGGCGTGAACGGTCTTGGCCAGGCTGAAGTCCGAACGATTTGCTATCTTCGGGCACGTCAGGTAGATAGATAGTCAGCATTAATTTTGTACCCAGCGTCACGTTGCCCGTTCTTACACGAGCGTCTATCGGGCGCCACCGTTTTCCGTCGTGCACGCGCACTTACGCGACACAGCCGCCTAAACTTAGCCACGGCGGTCCAGAATGCGAAAATGATTCGCACCACTCACGACCGACTCTCTTTAAAGACTCAAGAGCGACTGCCAATGCACTGAATGCATTGCCGATACCTAGTGTCCCTTTCGCCCGGGAGACACGAGATGGACTTTTTACTCCGCGACTTGGCAGATCGTTCCCGGACTTGCTCAGAATCGCGAGAAATGGTCCAAATAATAGAGTGCCAAGAAACTGTTCGGCAGCATCTTCCGCAATATTTTTATTAGTAGCTCGGTTAGATTCCTTGAATCGGTACAAATGAAAGTTTTCTAACGAATTATTTAGAAAAGTTTCGTCTATATAAAATATCGAGCTAGAAAATGTATTGTCTATTCTTCTTATATTATATTTCTACATATACATTGTATTATAAGACAGATAAATTTTGTTTTTCTACTCTAAAAAGATATAGAGATACGCCTTTCTGTCACGTTCGACGAAAATATGTGATCATTTCTTAGAGAAGATAACACATTCAACCGCCAAATATTAGCAAAGCCAAGACATGTATTGCATCGTGTGGGTGATGCAATTGACTTAATATAATAATGTACTAGAATTTCTTAAGGAACAGTCTAAACAGTTGCATTTGAAAGTATAAATACGAAAATTAAAAAGATTCTGTGCGTATTATTCCAAAAAATATTATTTGCCACATCCACACACACATACACTTGATACTCATATACTTATTATTTATTTAACTAGTGATAATAAAGATTAATTGATGTAAAAATTACAATCAATTTTGATAAAATTATAAGTGGTTTAATATCGCGTAAACAAATAAATTAGTTAATTTAATATTATTTTCAGCCTCTAAACTGTAGAATTATAGTTTAAAAAAAAGGATGTTGTGTTTGCGTGTGTGTAAGCATCATACAAAATTTTTTTAAGTAATAAATTTGTTAATATAACTAATCTTTATATGTCTACTATTATTTTATTTTTAGGTATACAAGAAATTAAGTAAATACGACTTCGATGTCGCATTGGTATGCCAGATATTTTTATTATAGAGAATAGGCAAGAGTAAATTGCAAAACGAGAAAATATAACGACGTCAATGATGACACGAATTACGCACGGCATCCGTGCACATGTCTTTGATCACTCGAAACGAGGCAGCCTTTTCCGCGGCACCAAATTTAGAAACCGAAAAGGTCAAGCAGTCACCGAGTCGCACGGCACTCGGAAAACGGATCGCCTCGTATTTCCCAGAAGTTCCTTTTCGAAAAGATTTATCAACAGTATTTCCTCTTTTCCTACATTATCGTACCTTAAAGCGAGACAGGTGATCTCTGGCTTCGTCTTCGGCGTTGATCGCGTATTTAATGAGATTGTCTTTTGTATAGGGTTGCACCCTTTTGTCCTCCCATAAGACGCTACCATCAGACCAGGGTAATTCGGGCAACTCTATTCTTCTTTCAAATTTTGACAGAGTTGATCTCGAAATGCGTTGTTTGGTATCTATGTAATCAATCATTGGCTGATAGTAATTTATACCATAGCTGTAATTTCTGTCGTAGATATACGTTGGATAATGTCGCCATTTTGACTCCAATGGCATGTGAATCGGTGGCATGTAACCCGCCATTTTTGGTAAAAGTTTTAAATATTCACACACAATGTTCCTTTATTTTTTAATACGAATAATATGTCTGTGACGTGGAAAAATATGGAAAGTGGTGTATCAAATCGTTTAAACTGTTGTCTAAATTGTTACAGTTTTTCCTTTTTTATTTTGATTGTATATGTCTGCAATTTTCAAGCTTTTAGTCACGTGACGGATTTATGGAGGCAATATTCGTAATTTTTATGGACAAGTTTACAGATGCTGCTGTCACTCTTGTGACAGGACCATCGACAAAAATTGGGCCGATGGTTAGGTAGTATCTTTATAGTTTTCGTTGTGATTGCCACATCGGAGACAACCAATCAGCGCCTCTCAATAATAATTAGACCATGACTAATTAGATTTACTATACTTATTAATAGTATCGTTCCGTTGTATAAGTTGTCATCGTGTGCCCTCAATAATATTAAAATTTCTATTTATATCTTTATAATATTCTTATTGTATTTAATAATAGTAATCAATCACTATAATGTGATTATTATTCTTTATATAATTTCACTTTTATAAAGTGTAAACAATACACAAAATATCTATAATATAAAATACCCATCTATATTGTAATAAATCGTATTATACTTCTTTTAATTTGATTTTAGAATTAATATAATAAAACAGATTAGAGAGAAATTTTTTTTAAATCTTGCAATTAAATAATGCTTATGATGTGAATGCCAATGGTAGAAAGTTTGGTAAAATGTCAAAGTAGTAAATATTGTCAGAACCGAAGAACATAATTAATATTGATGTTACTTTTCAACTTCGTCATTTATGAATAAATAGCTAGAGGTCGAATGAGAAAGCATATATACATATAATGATTAATTGTGTGGATCAACCGCACCGATAAATTTAACTACGATTTATTATATGTGCTAATAATATAGTACTATTCAACGAATGATAGTCGATTGAAAATAAAATTGATTATATCACAGCCTAAAATAATATGGTTAATATTTATATCTTATTTTGTAACAACATTTTTTTGCGATTTGTATTATCGATTAAATCGGTGTACAGCAAAACTTGGAATGTTAAGAAGGCGATCATGTAATATAAATTCTGATTAAAAATTAAAACACAAATTCGTTTAAACAAAACAATTTGTTTTATATAAACATAACTGCATTGGTATTTTAGAATCTTTAAGAATGATTCTCTTTTTCTTAATCCCAGGTTGGAATAATGTGTGTGTAACTTTATTAAAAAAAATAGGAACTAGCTTTTTTTCTAAAAGGTATGTAATTTTAACTAGGAAAAATATTTAATATAATTGACATAAAAATATAGTGTATATTTAAAATTTAGTGATAAACATAGTTATAAATGTAGTGATAAATATAGTGATATGATAAAAAATTGGTAGGTAAAGAAAAGATAAAAAAATAAGATAAATAAGATAAAAATCACGAATTGTTAAAACTACTAAATAAATTAATATTAATATGTCCATCAAAAATTATATGAAACAAATAAAAACGGAAAATTAATTTTCAACAACTTACCGAATAATTTCGATTTCTTCGTCCTTTTCAGCAATACGTCTTTCGTACTCGTGACGCAGTTGACTCAATTCGGCTGACAATCTCTGAGCACGTTGCTCCTCAATTTTGCGGCCCTATGTTGAATTTTTTTTTATTTAATATTTTCTTATGATATCTTTGAAGAACATTAATATAAAGACATGTTTTTCAATTTTTCTAATAAACACACTTATCTTATTCTAAAATAAATTTAAAAAATGCTAATTTTAAGTACTATCTCGAAGATTAACATTTTAACTTGATATGAGATTACAAAATTCTTTTAAGATATCTTCTTGATTTTTTAAGTTCGTCTTAATAATTCTATGAATATTTTTTGCTTATACCTTTTTTTACACAAATTTTTGTTAGCATAATATTATGCTTTATTAATGTAAATGATCACTCACTGCTTCAGCTTCCTTGTAAGCGGCAGCCAATTCTTCGCGTTCATTCTCTAATCGGCGAAGTTCTAATTCTAGTTCGTGGAGTCTACGATTCATGTCAGCCAACTGATTTTTAGCGTCGCTAAGATCATCTATAAAAAAATTAATACGTTATATATAACGATTGAAGAAGTTTTTTTTTATTTGGTCAATTAAAAAAAAAACTGGATAAAAGAATTATTTACTTTATAAAGGGAAACTTTAGTTTTGTTAAGAATACATTTTAGAATGTGAAACTGCTTGTAACACACTATTATAAAAGTATATATTAATTATCATCTGTAATTTTGAGTTACAACTAAGAAAACGGTAACCATCACCTCCAAGTTTCTTGTTTTCACGGGCCAATTGATCTTTCATTTCGCGGGTCTTATCAAGTTCGGCGTTCACACGTTGCAGCTCTTGTTGTTTGTTGCGGAGATCGCGCTGGCTTTGCTCGTACATGGCGAGAGATTCATCCAAACGAGCCTTTAATTCTATATTGACTTTCTCGAGATGTTCGACACGCTTTTGAAGTTCGCGAGCAGTTCCATTGGCCTTGACAAAAAAAATTATAAGAATATAAGAAATTTTTTTGAAAAATATAATATTTAAAACATCTCTTCAGAAAAAGATGCGTCAGCAAAGGATCAACGGTGAATCTCAAAAGAAAATCTTACCTTCTCTAAATCGATGATCAGAACTTCCACTTCGGATTGCAAGCGCGATTTCTGTTTCTCGAGATTATTAATCTTCACAAGCAAGGTCTCGATTTGTTCTTCCTGTTCTTGAATGCGTGCGGAATATTTGCGACGAAGTTCCTCTACCTATGTAAAATTACATCAAAAGTTTATTAGGTCATAGAATCTATCATAAAAGAGAGGTGAAAAAGATTAATGTGCATGAATTTTAAATTGATTATTATAAGTCGACATAATTATCGCCAAGTATGTTAATTACCTCCTCAGCACGAGCATTAGCTTCGGTCTCGTATTTTGATCTCCATACTGAGACTTCTCCACTGGCCCTGACTAATTGACGTTCGATGTCCAAACGCGCCTCAGATTCTTCTTCCAGCTGGACGCGGACAGACTCCAATTCCACCTCAACCTATTGATTTACATTAACAATAGTAATCATATCCCATTCTTTTAAAAAAGATGAAATATGAAATTTATACATATATATATATATATGAAATTTAAATACCATGTTATTAGTATTAATAGATGTTGATGTGTTGCTATTTTTAAAAGAATTGTTAAAATTGAGTATATAATAAATATGTTGAATCATACCTGATGCAGCGAAGCCTCGACCAATGCACGACGGCGTTCTTCATCTTCAAGGCGACGGCGAGCATCCTCGAGTTGACCCACAATTTGCGTTTTCAAGTAGGTAACATTTTCGATATTCACCTACAATTTTAAACAAGTAATTAGCGAGATTTATACTGAATTGGAAAATATAATCACGCTCTCCATTATTAAGGTATAAAATACTTTACCTTGAGATCTTGCACCTCTTTTACCAATTCGATATTCTCTTGAGATAGCCGAGTTTTGTGACTAGTGATGTCGACAATCGTACGGTTTAATTCCTCAATCTTGACGTTCAATTCAGATACGTGCACTTCGAGTTTTTCGACTGTTTTAATCGACAGCAATTTTTCTTTACTAACACTGTCAAGCTGAGCGAGGAGTTCATACACCTCCTGCTGGAATTTAGATTTTTCCTTGTCAGCCCTGAAATCATACAATGGCGTTGTCAGAAAAATTTTATTTAGGACCTTATTACTTAAAATAATACTTTATATATTTGAAGAAATTATTTTGATTTTCTTAAATTGTCTTTAACCCTAAAAATGATAGAGAAAAAAATTAGCTTCACGAAAAGCACTTTTTAAAATAAAAAGAAACTTTTTGCACAATATGAATTTATTGTGAAGTAATTTAATTACCAAAAGGGGAACTAACGATTTAATCAACATATTGTAACATTCATAGAGTGTCATAACTCAATATTGAAAGGCTGTTTCTATATTTTTAATTAGACAAACAAAGATAGATAAAATGTTTGATTAAAAATATATAAACAACATAAAAAATATACTTTTTTAATTATTTACATTTTGCAAGAAAATCTAATAAATTATAACAGAAAGAGTCAAATTTATAAAGATCAATTTAAATATTTATTACTCATATATAAAATTATTACTTATATGTAAAATTATTTCGTAAACTTTTCTTATAAAATAAATAAAAATATGAATAGAGCAAATTTGCTAAAGCACAAGATATTATATGTAAATACATATGTGTTTCTGAGATGTTTAAATAATATTTCGATGCTTTAAGCAAGCGTAAAATATATATTTGGTATTCCCTATTTTTTAATTACTTCTCAAAAATAATTTAAAAAATATATGAAATATATCAGTAATATTAGACAATGGAAGAAAAAATTCAAAAAGTAAATATATATATAGTCTACATGATATTAATACAGATCCTAAAACGACATATACCTATATATATATATAAATCTTTTCTTATACTTTCTATGCGTAATGCACTGATAAAATACATTATGCGCGATTCTATTTTTTTGGGACACGCAAAAAAAATTTAGGCGATATTAGACCTACATGTGTAAAGAGGGTGTAAGGTATCGGTTAGCCGATTCTTGGTGATAGTGGGGATTTGTGCCGGTCGCGTGTACTAATATGGCGCGCCAACGTTGGGGTTGCGGATTACCGCGCGACTCGCACGGTTAAAAATAGTCATAAGCCAAGTAACCACGCGAGCAAAAAGAAGACAGAGAGAGAGAAAGAGAAACGCATGATAGAGAAAGACAAGGTGTTTTCGCACCGAGAAAGAGAGAGAAAGAGTTACGTGTTGCAGTTTTACATCGAGACCTACATAACGCACCCTTCTTATTTCCTGTTCTTCGAACAAATAAAAATATATTTTTTTTTTTGCGTGCTGCTATACTTGTGACATAATTGAGTCTATTTCAAATCTGAGATATATATCTGGAAATTTATGAACATACTTACAATAATGGATAATGATAGATAGAATTATCAAAAATTATTATGCAAGATTATTGCGAAAAATGTATCCAGTAAAAATAAATGTGTAGATTGGTTTTTCTATGTTTATAATATTCAAAATTTTTGCCAAAGTCATAGATGTGTAGGTAATGATCACAATTTATAATTAGCGGTGAAATCACTATCTACAAAATATAACCGGACGATTAAATTTGATATTACTTGCGTGGTTGGATGGCTAAAACTAAGTAACAGCTGTGAAATAGGTATTATTTTTGGCAATGATATGTCAACTATTTTGAGATAATCTTTAGAAAATTACACGTGTTTTTTCAATATTTTATGACATAAGTATTGTAAGTATGAGTACTTTAAATTTTTAGTATAACTTTTAGTAAAGTTTCTTGACATATCCTACTTTATACAATTCGTTCTCCATTAATTAAAAATTATATTTGAAAATATGTTTTATATGTGTACGTGTGCGTGATTTTATGATAGTTTATTTTGATTATAGAATAATATTTTGAGTTATTTACCCTCTGAAAATTCATCTAAACCCAAGTTTCGCATTTTAGACAATAATTATTTGAAAGAAGGTTCGTTTTTACTTGATTATTAAATTTTTGTATCAAAAGCTATCATAGCAAATCTGAAAACGGTCACGGACAATCAGCAATCTAATTAAGTATCAACGTCCTTGTGTAAACGACAGAATCGGCGTCTCGAACAGATGATTATGTTTAGAAGAGCCGATCTACCGAATCTTCGAGTATTTCAGTTGCGAGTCCGTTCTCGGCTTGGATTATAGCCAATGCGACTGATATAATTCATACAAATCTTCTTACGTACATTCACTCTCGTTTGTGATGAGCCGCGCTATAATTATCCACGTAATATCGTGACTCATTACGTCTCCTCCCTTTTCCCAAATATCGCGCGATGCTTCTTCACGGAATCGTTATTTGCTACGCGCCGAATTTCCGGCCAGTTCTCAGATGTTTATTGAAGCTTCCGAGCAACGCGCTTATATGCATTCAAAGGAGAGATTAGCAAATGTTTACACTGCGGTTGCTTTGCGATCACGAATATACATGTGCCTTTAGACTTTCTGAAATGTTCGGAATTCTGGTCTCTGTCAGCCATTTCGGTTTTCTAATGGAAATATCAAATTTAAACTGTTCAAAATGTCTAAGTAACTGAGGCAGATAGTTAAAAAAATATAGAAGTGCCTCGAACAAACTATATTATTATATTAACTCTTAATGTAGTATAGATTTTATAATGAATTGAGATGGGAAGAATTCCATTAATTACAATCACGGTTTCCGTAACCAACCTGGCACGTGCTTTCGAAAGCTGGTCAATCTGATCTTGAAAATCAACGACGACTTCCTGATGTTTTTTGCGCAACAGATGTGCGGTCTCCTCGCTCTCGAGATGGACATCTTCGAGTAATTTGCGCAGCTTGGCCAATTCCGTGTCCCTTTTCTTGTTGATCTCGAACTACATAAAAATATCATTTCAATTTACGAGTAATTTAAACAAGCTACTTAATTTTAGTTTCTTTATTAAGTGGGTTAAAGAAAGAATTACATGTACCTCTGTGAGGTGTAAATACTTACTTGAGATTCGGCGCCACCCTCAGCCTCTTCGAGACGTTCGGACAGCTGGATGACTTGCACGCTTAAGTCAGCGCGCTCGCGTTCGATCTGTAATATTATAAAAACATATAAGAAAAAATTGAACAATTTTTTTGACTCAGAGATAAAAAGCGATTAGCTAAAGCAATGTTTCAATTAAAATCGACGACAAAAAGTAAATTATTTCTTAAATAAAATAAATTATAATGCATAGAATCACATACTTTTATTATCAAAATATTTTTTTAACTGAAAAAAGAATCGTGTTTTATGTTTTTTGGTCTCTATATAAGTTGGCGTGTGCGAATTAGATCTTTAAAAATGAGTCTTTCAATAATGAATACACTTGTTGATCTCGAACTACATAAAAATATCATTTCAATTTACGAGTAATTTAAACAAGCTACTTAATTTTAGTTTCTTTATTAAGTGGGTTAAAGAAAGAATTACATGTACCTCTGTGAGGTGTAAATACTTACTTGAGATTCGGCGCCACCCTCAGCCTCTTCGAGACGTTCGGACAGCTGGATGACTTGCACGCTTAAGTCAGCGCGCTCGCGTTCGATCTGTAATATTATAAAAACATATAAGAAAAAATTGAACAATTTTTTTGACTCAGAGATAAAAAGCGATTAGCTAAAGCAATGTTTCAATTAAAATCGACGACAAAAAGTAAATTATTTCTTAAATAAAATAAATTATAATGCATAGAATCACATACTTTTATTATCAAAATATTTTTTTAACTGAAAAAAGAATCGTGTTTTATGTTTTTTGGTCTCTATATAAGTTGGCGTGTGCGAATTAGATCTTTAAAAATGAGTCTTTCAATAATGAATACAAACCGTCATTATATATATTTTAATCAAAGATCGTGTAATATATACTTTGCTAGGATATCTTTAGCGATAACTTGACGTCAAGTTTCTTTACATCATGAATAGGACAATCTATTTTCGACTGCGACGTCTATATCGGGAACTTTATTCATATTACAAACGAGGCGTTTATTGCGAGAAAATAAAATCACGACATCGCTTTTACGATCACACATACACACAGTTTACAGTTTGAAATTATTTAATATAATTCTTTTTTAAATTGATATATGTTGCATTTTATATTGTGTGTGTGTGTATTATTAATATTTTATTTAAGTTACTTAAAAGATATATAACAAATAAGAAGAGAGAATAAACTTAATAAAAAAATTACTATTATTGACAATTTAATTTGAATATTGCATACAAATTAAATTTTTGTTTTGCTAAAACTGTTATAAGAGTTATGTATATATGTATATATATATGTATATATATATAAACTGATTAAATTTATTAATTTGATTAGTTTAAATAAATTAAATCGTTACATATTTATATAACCATGTAATATATATAAAAAATTAAATTAATCGTTAATTTTCGCATATTTTCTTCAAGACATTTGCAATTTCTAAATGTAATACATGCATGTTGTGAATTTCTAAACGAAATATGTGAAGCATTATGAAAGAGCGTATATCGTGTTAACCGTCACTCCAATTTTCGGATTTTATAGCCTCGAAGCACGAGTAAAATTTTTGGCAGTCGTTCAAGTCACGTATTACAGCGTGCGTTACATAGAAATTCGATTTTTGTGGAATTTGAACTCGCATGAAATCCGAGAAGTTTTTATAAAATTTAATTCCTTGTTTGAAGGTGGAATGCGCGTTTTGTTACACGCGTGTGATTGTGTAAATGTTATCAGTGAAGAATGTAATTTCCGTTCTCACTGTATGCAATTCCGTCAGGTATGTACAGATTTTTAAAAAAATTCTATAAAAACCAATTTTCTAAATAAAAAAAGAATTTTTTTTTAGGGATAGAGAGGTTAATTCCAATTTAAAAAACAAAATACGTTTTTTCGTGTAAATGAAAAGAAGCATTTTTCAAAATATTAACTTTCTTATGTGGATATTTATGAATCGCTTAAATTTTTGAGGAGATTATATGATAGTGTTTATAAAAGTAGGCAAGCAGTGTTGGATACAGCGCAGGAATGTGAGAACGATCCCGAAGAGCTTCGCGTTCCTAAAAATAGATGCAACTCAAGAGCTGGACATTTCGACCTAGTGCTCCCCACTCTGCAATGGATTAGCATCCTCAGTTCATTTCCATCTCCATCTCTGAACTAGTGATACTTGATAACGAGCGCATTGTCGATAAAGAAATGTAATTCTGTTTAGATAACCAGTAGCAGATATTCTTAATATTATTTTGTGAATTTTGGTGTTTATAGGTAGTCAAAAATAAGAATTTTTATAGAAACGGAATTTTTATTAATATAATCTTTAATTCTCTCGTTCAATGAGAGTATATTTGCACTAAGTGGTCTTATATCTTGTTTTACCTCTTTGATTAATGCTTATTATATCATGCTTATTATATGCATGATGTAATCAGAAGAGCAAATTGCGCTTTGTGTGAAAAATATACTCAGAAACTTCTTTTTAACAATTAATGTCATATTTCAATATTATTATAATGAAACAATTACTTAATACTTTAAATGTTAACCAATTTTCTAATAAATTTGCAATGGTTATCTCGGTACTTTAGCCTTTAGCCTTTAATCTCATTTTTCAGAAAATAATTAAAATAAAATATAATGTCAAAATTTCATTTTGATATAATTAAAATATAAAATTAATCTCTCGAAAAATACGGTATCAAATATCACGGCACATGCATTTGTCATTGCGTTCAATATATTAAGAAGCACCAAGAGTGTTTAGGTATTGTAAAGACATTCATGGAACTCACCCTCTGACGCAGCTCCCTCTCAGACTCCAGGTCATCCTGCAGTAGGCGGATTTTGTCCTGAAAAGAGAGGCAATAAGGATTAGAGGATATCACGGCGCCCGTTATAGAGGGTCGACGCTTTACGTAATCGCTCGACGAAAATATCCAAGCGCGGAGGCTCGGTATTTCGGAAATACGGACGGCCTCAGCCGAATAGATTCGTCCTCGAGAGAAGGAGAGAACGACATCGCGACGTCTGCTCAGCCGCGTCTTCGAGCCACTCGTCTCGATTATTTCAAAAAAGCCGTATGCTGATGTTTAGATTGCGCCGGAATAAACAGTCAGACACCACTATATTTGCAAGAGATAAAGAAGTGATCTTACTTGGTCATGTGGAGGAGGCTGTACGCTCCCTCATATTTCTCTTGATACGTCTTAAAGGAGCAAAATCCGAAAAGATCCGAAAGATCCATCAAGGAATCTCGTCGGATGGTATCTCGAAGCGGGGTATCGATCTGGCGCTTTGGCACGATCGTTATTTCAGACCGATATTTCGCCGACTATTTTTGTACACGAGCAATCCGATAGCTACAGAACGATCGCACACTTTACTTTCTCGTCGGGTTGGCACTAACATCCCTTATGGTCACTGAACTTTCGCGGTTCACTACCTTTGCGATTGGTCACTACTCCGCATTGTTCACGTGCGAATCCGTCGTGTATCACTGTATCTCGGATGATTTCGTTTCGATGACGTGCGAAAACTTCTCTAACAGTCTTCATCTTCATTAAAATCTTAGCAGTTATTCGACGCGATCATTGTGCGTTTCCTCAGAAAGCGCTGAAGAATGTCGGTCAATGCGTCGTCCTCTTTCACTTGCCGTCATTATACCTAGTCGTTGCTTAGTCGTCGATATATATTGAATAACTCGGAAGATATAATTTTATTGATTAGCTCGAATTCTCTATCTCTTACTTTAAAGTATAATTTTTTGCATTTTTCAGAGAAGAAAATAATTATCCAATTTCTTTGGACATTAAATAAAAATTTTCAACAACATCAAATATATAAAAATTTCTAATTTTCATAAAATAAAGGAAACTCTCTCTCTCATAGCTTAATAGTAATATGTTAAAATTTGTTTTATCAGAATTTTATTTAATACAAGTTTTTACCGATTATCTAAATTCAAATTTAAATTTTTATTAAAATTAAATTTTAATTTTATATACGGATTTTTTTTGTTTGATTAAATTTCTGATAATGCGGTCTTTTTTCAATAACTAATTTTAAGTGATTTTTTGAAGACGATATAACACAAGTTATATCAATTATTTATTCAATTAATTATTCCTTCTTATTTAAGTTATTTAAAGTATAATTAAAGAACCGTTATTCAAGAGTTTTAATAATGACCGTTTGAAGAAGCAGACTTTTTCTTTCGACTGTCGTTCTCTCCTATCAAAGGACATATCAGAGGCGTTTTTTTTTTCGCAGGACCTACCTCGAGTCTGCTGAGAGCGCTCAGGTCGGCGCTATATTCGATGCTAACATCGGCAGTACCACCACCCGTAGAACGATACGTGTACTTGGAGCTCTTGGCAACCGCGGAAGACGACATCTTCTTTGCTTTGTCTTCTCTGCTTGTCTTCAACAATGGATCTGGTTCCTTTCGTACTTTGTGAGACTCAAGTTTTCTCGCGTATCCTTCAATTCGAGCCCTCTTCACCTGTAAGGGTCTTTCTGTTTGCCACTGGCTAAGTCAAGGTGCCTCGGCCTCAGTTGTTGGCGAGCTCACTTCTACTTTCTTCCACGTTCTTCTTCTTCTTCCTTCTCTTCGAGGTTTCGGAGCCGACCAGCGCCCTACTCGTAGTGCGCGACCCGTCGTCGTTCGTATGGCGCGCCGGCTGCTTCATTGCTTCGTCAAAATGATGATCAACGCAAGCGCACTGATGCTAAACCCCCACCAGGAACAGCAAACGAGTTCGTCATCATCGTCGTTCTTGTTGTCTTCATCATCATCGAGGAGAAACCACCAAGCAAAACGCTAGACGCCTACGTTGTCGAAAGGCAGTTGCCAAATCGACTTAGATTTGGCCGACAACGGTGGAAGAGATGCCGAGTAGAGGGTGTCGCTTCTTAATGACTTTATTATTCGTGAATTTTAAACTTCACCACCAAGAAATTTGTTCTTCAGCACTTCTCTTGAATTATTTCCCGAAAATTAGAGTAGAATATATTACATTTCTTGATTTTCATAAATATTAAATTTATTAGATAAGCATTTCTCGTGATAATTACTTGGATGTTTTAAATTAATTTGTTGGTTGTATTGTATAATAATTAATCAGAGAAATTTGTATATAATAAATACGAAAATATAACTAATATAATTCAAATTAAATATTAACTAGATGGATCTAGAAAGATGTGACATAAGATTTGCACGCGCGCGCGTTTCCCTCATCGTTCTCTCTGTACTATATATCATTATCAAAAAATAAATACGTATGGTGTAAGTTTTCTACCCTTAAATATATGATTTATTCCGGTTTTTTTTTTCTCTTTAAACATGAAAAAATATGTGATAAGATATATGTTATTGAAATTTACGTGACAGAAAAATAGAGATATGATATTATAGAAATAATTATTTGATTAATCCTGAATCATGTATTTGGCATCGCAACACATTCGGCGTCGCCGGAATTAAATCGAGCGATCTGCGATTCCCAAAGGGGGATTATTTGTCCAGAATTCGTGCACATGTAGATACAACTGCGTCGTAACTAGTCCGAACCGATTTAGTATAGTGTACTTGAAAAGAGACGCAGGGTCGAGTAGGATGCTCATCTATCGATGAAATGGGCTGCCGACTCATTCAGAGATCTATCCACTTACAAGTAGTATAGTGTAGAAGTGATGCGCGATGGAAGAGAAAAATGTCGAGCTATCAAACAGTGTCACTAACGCATATCACAATAACATAGAATTGTTTTTGAAATGTCTCATTCGTGAATAATTTTGTAGTGGCATACATTATGATCATTATTATTTATTTTGATGCATTTGTCTAAAGTGGGTATAAAATTGTTAGCACACATTCAATTTTAATTTTAAAATAACTTTGCAGTAATGCGTAATGTCATCAGTGCAGATCGTCTTAAATCTAAACAATATTTAATATTATCGTTAAAGTAAAAATTTCTAAGGTAAGGTTTTTATTATACTCTATTAAAATAATTGTTAGGATTTTATAACTAGTAACATTTTACAATACATATTTTGCATTTTTTTTCTTAATTAAATTTCTTTAATAAATATTTATTATATTTAACATTATAAAAATACACAGAGAAATTAAATATTTTTGATTATGTCAATTTTTAATGATGATTTTTATCGAAAGGAAATTATTAAGTAGAGAACGTTTTCGTATTCCAAATTTAAGAAATTTTGAAAAATAATGCTGCTTATAGCGAAAAATATCTTGTGTGAAATATATTTCGCAATATTTATGACATCTTAGATTTATCTATGACTCAGACTGATGGAACAAGAGCAGACATTAAAAAATACGTGTATCTGCGGGAGTATATCTGTACAAATATTTTGCTTGTTCTTTATAGCTTACATTTGGTTGTAATTTATTGGAACAAAGCCCGAGTCTCTTTTAAGAAAAGTTAAAAATATTTAACCGAAAAAATACTTTATTTGTCAATTCCTATAAAAAATTCCTTTTTTTTTTTATTTTAACCGCAAAAGAAATTCTCTTTCTGCAATATTACATATACATATATGTTTTATATCTTCTTTTAATAACGATTTATTAAACAGAAAAAACTTGATTAACCCTAATAAATAATTAAAGGTATTATGCAAGAAATTTTATATCATTATAATCTTTTATCAAATTGTAGCTCTTCATTTATCACTTAATGAAGCAATAAGTCTAATATCTATTAGATTTATTGCTTCATTAAATATGATGATAAATGAATGATGATAGGTTTTGTTGTTGCATAGTTATGCAAAGACTTTGTTACTTTTGCATTGTCGTATCATAAAATAAAGTAAAATCGCACTTTATCAATTCGTAAAAATAAATTTGCAATAAAATAAAGAATGACAACAATAACAAAGACTTCATTTCTAGTAAATGATTGTGATTATTCTTTTAGACATACAGTTCTAACGCTTCTAAATCTTTGTCCATAATGCAATGTTATTATTGCTAATATTATTTTGTCTATTTTTATAGTATCTGTTGCGAGAAATGCAACCGATATTTGATAGAGTGAACATGACAGACTTGTTCGTGCCGCTTCAACGTCTACGTTTCATCAAAATTCATCCGTTCCATTCTCCGGTGCCGGTCAAAGCAAGATCGCGCTGCCGTTCCGGGTGCTTCTTCTTTTTCCGCCGGATTGCCAGTTTTCACACAATTTTCTCAACCTCCCACTTTGCCCCACTACCGCGAGTGTCTATAAAAGGTCGCCAGGCGATGGTGGGCAAAGATATTTGGTCGGCCTAGCCCGGAGCTCACCAAGTAATTTGAGATTGGCCCCTTCCCTGCATGTTCTTCTCATCGTCTTCTACAGTCTTCACCACCCTCCCTTCTTGAATGCGTAGCTCGCTCTGGTGGAGAATTCCAGGTGTCAGAGAGAAGAGGTGGCACATCGTCAGACCAAACGCCAAAATAGCTCTCTCATCTGTCCCTCTTTCCTGCCGATCTCTTTCAAGCGTAGTAGACACATCTTCGTTTTTTCTTCTTAGAAAACTCTCCGTTCTCCCTTAATTAAATTTTCGATATACGGCATTTAGAAGCAAGCGTTATACTTCTTTTATTATAAAGTAATTTTATTTTATGTATACATATATATTCTTCTTTTCGCGCGCGTGCAATTTTATTGGGCTTAGACAGATTCTTCTATATTTTTTATTTTGCATAACTTTAGTTTACATAACTTTTTGGTAATTGCATTTTATTATGATTGTTTTATTTAGTTCTTTATTAAATAATTTTTAACCGTAGAATGTGAATCTTAAACTTTTCTGCGCGCACAGAAAAAAAGCAAAATGTGTTCTATAAATAAAAAATCATAAGAGCTTTGGATTTTTTATGTACACATCTTTATATATTTTACATAATTAAAAGCTATTTTATATATATATGTAAGTATTTATAATAGCTGTTTGTTTCCTAAAATAAACAGTAAATCTAATTTGATTTTTACTCTAATCTATTAATACTTCTTCTCTATCTATCTTCTTTCTTTTTCTTACTGTTTACTACGATCATTTATGGCATAATGTTTGTATTAATTTATGAATACACTTTCTATAATTTTGTACATATTCTTATTTTGCCAAAACTTGCTTTTAAAATAATATATTGATTTTATTAATTGCATTTTATCGCAGCATGTTTAATGAGATATTCGGCTTGGGATTGGTCCAGACCAATTAGGTCATATCGTTTATTTTGTTTACAGAAAAAAGACCATGTAGTGGTCAAATAAGAGAAAACAATAACTCGAGAAAGTATCTACTTGTGGAAATTAAATATGCAATTTTTACGAGAATCGGTACTTTTTGCAGGAATTTTGGAGATTAAAAATTTCTGTCATTTACACACACGCACAATATGTTTTTCATTGCTTTATAATATTTTTTTATAATAATAATCAAAATAAATATTCTTGGGAATAAATACTTTCTTATTATTTTTTATTATTTTAAATATTTTTTCTATTAAATTTAAAATATATTTAAGTTTTAATATTAAATTAATATTTCAATGTAACTATTAATTTATTAGTTTATACAAAAACAAGTTCATAGTACGGTTGTGTATTTTATTAGTCAGATATAACTAACAAATTCATGTAATAGTATACAAGAGAAACAATACAACAAAATTTGTACTTCTTGTATTTATAGTTTTACTTAAAAGAAGTAATAATCATTTCCGAATCGCCGAATTAGTGCGCTGCCCTAATTTTCTAAATTTAACTCCTTCCGACTCTTGTTCGGCTGAATTTCTATGCACTATATCGAAAGATCTTGACTTTCTAACCATGTGCTAACTATTTATATGCAAAACCAACCAATGAATTGTTTGGTAAACTCTCTTAAAGTGAGATTTATACACTTTATAACAATTGCCACTTAATAATGTATAGTGTGAACAGAGATATAATTGTATTTTTTAAATATATTTTGGCTCTCTATTATTATTAACTGTGAAAAACTTATTCTATTTAGAAGAGAGTATAATATTTATATGTTTATACTCTTATATAAAACTCAATAAAGTATTTAAAAATTATTTTTAGCAGTTTCATGTTTTATATGAAAATGTCTATACATAATTCTTTTGTCTGTTATCTGAATATCGATATACAATAAATAACATGCAAAACACAATTTATTAATATCGCGTCCCCTTTTCATATTAAAACATAATTTTCAGCTGTTCCTTGCAATTTTGCACCTGTCATACGCATATCGTTCTATAATTATAGAGCATATTGGTTCAAGATTTAGGAAGAGGATAAAACAGGTGGCTTTTTGAGTGAAAGAAATTTCTTACTAATGATGAAACTGCTAAATTTATTATGAAATGTATGCGACTATACTTACGAAAAAGAAAATAGAAATTAAGTGCATTATATGCTTTATTTTAACGTTATTTTATCCATATTTTACGATTATAACACTACAGTTGAATTTATTATGAATATTTATTATTAGGAATTATTAATTATTATTT